TAACATTTTAGACACATTCTAGACAGTTTATCAGCTAAAAAAGTTAATTTTGGGGTAAGTTACTCTTTCAGATCACCTTCTTGTTGAGCTTACCTGCCAGCACAGAGCAGCAACAGCAATAGTTGACGCCAGAGCAAGAGCCAGCAGGCGCTCAGAGATGAGACAGAAGTGCCTCATGCCCTTAGAGGCCATGACCTTGTCCATGCTGGTGTCCTCCAGTCCATGGGACGGATACAGTCTCTGACAGTCACTGAGCTTGGTGTGGAAGCCCCACGCAGTGAGGAAGAACACCATGTGGAAGACAACCCAGAAGAGCACCAACAACACAAAGCCCAGGATCACCAGGTACCCCGAATCCGGCTCTGAGAGTTTCTGAGCAGCCAGGACGGTGAAGGCCACCTCCACCAGCAGCAGGGGCAGGAGGGACAGGCGGCGCCACAGAGCCCTGGACCTCAGGAGGGACTGCCAGCGCTCGGTCAAGGTCAGCCCACTGAAGCAGAAATCCAGCAGAGGGTCGCAAATCAGCAGGCTGAAGAAGCAGGAGAGGGCGAACGGGTTGGTGGTGACGTTCAAAGACTTCACAAACAGGGCGCCGGTGATGGACGCGAAGCAGACGAGGTTCGGAAGAGCCAGGAAAACCTTCACCCGGAGGACGATCATGACCGCGGCCAGCGCCACCAGCAGCACCGCGACGCTAAAGCTCTGCTGGACCCGCAGCGCCGTGCTGGCCGCGGCGAAGCCCACCAGCTCCGAGCGCTCCGCCAAGGTGAGGAAGGCGGGGCGGTACCGGGTACGTCCGAGCAGCCGCTCCAGCAGCGCCCACAGAGTCCGGAGGCCGACGCTGAGCAGTAACAGGTAGTTGGCTGCCTGCTCCTTGACGTCTCTCTCCAGGGCGGCCGAGTTGAGGAAGCAGAGCAGCCCGAGCAGGAAGCCGTAGCACAGGTGGAGCAGGAAGAAGCTGACCCTCTCCATGCTGTAGTAATAGTACAGCACACTCGCTACAGCGAGACCGAGCAGAGCCAAAACACAAAGAACAAGCAGCACAGACTCCCCGGTGTGCTCCCAGCGCACATACAGACCCAAACAGATGGACACGAGCAGGCTCAGACCGGACAGGTAGCCGAGCCACCGGACCGACGACCACACGCTCACCTCCCCGTTGACCTCCTCCAGCCGGGTCATTGCTGCGTGGAGGCAGTGGCTGAAACAGTACCGCAGAAAACGCAACATGTTCACACGAGCGACAAACTTATTTAAAGGCCAACTTTGTCCGGCTGTTTCTCTGTAACGACACGTAAACTTCACTTCAACCGCTGCGCGATTCAACAAGACGTGCTAGCCCGGCTAACGCAAAGCTGTCCGTCACAACTATTTACATTTTAATGTCACTTTTTTCCATTTCATCTGACGTCCATGAAGGGGAGGAAAAAGTTGCGTCGGGATGTCGGCTGTCAGAAGTATCCAAAACATATTCTTTCTAAAAGTTCGTCTTGTCAAAACTTCGGACAGACGACGATCTCCATATTGTGCTTTCAGGACGGCAGCCTGCCAGGGTCAAAAAGGCTCCGCAACGACCGAAACTCCTGTTAGGATTTTAGATTTGAGCTTTTGTCACTTTTTACGAAAGAGTGTTAGGACCACTGTAAAAAAAT